ATAAATAACCTGATTAAAAAATGGACAGTGGACCTGAGTAGACATTTTTCCAAGGAAGAAATACAGATGGCCAACAAGCACATGGAAAGATGCTCCACATCTCTACTCATCAGGGAAATGCAGAACAAAAACACAATGAGATATCACATTACACCAGTCAGAATGGCCACTATCCAAAAGATAAGAAATAACAAGTGTTGGCAAGAATGTAGAGAAGAAGGAGCCCTCCTACATTCTTGGTGGGACTGTAAATTGGTGAAACCACTTTGGAAAGCAGTATGGAGGTTCCTCAAAGAATAAAAATAGAAATACCATATGAACCAGTAATTTCACTTCTAGGAATTTACCTGAAGACAAAATCTCTTTGATTTGAAAAGATGTATGCACCCATGTTTACTGCCACATTGCTTATAATAGCCAAATATGGAAACAACCAAGGTATCCATATATGGTATCCATATCCAGATGAATGGATAAAGAAGATGTGGTACATATACACAATGGAATATTATTCAACCATAAAAAGAAAGAAATCCTGCCATTTGTGACACTGTGGATGGACCTAGTGGGTATTAGGCTAAGTGAAGTAAAACAGGTGGAGAAAGACAAATACCATATGATTTCACTTATTTGTGGAATATATAAACAAAATGAACAAAATAGCAGTAGACTCCTAGACACTAAGAGTGACTGGTGGTTACCATGGGGGAGGGGTTAATGGGTGGGTGGGGAGGGTGAAGGGGATAAAAGGGCACAAAAATTCTCTATCAAAATATATTTGGTCACAGGTATGGTAGTACAGCATGGAGAATATAGCCAATGAACCTGTAGTATCTTTCTACATTGACAGACTGTAACTGCACTAGTAGGGCTGAGGATTTAATAATATGGGTAACTGTTGAACCACAGTGTTGTATACTTGAAACCAATGTAAGATTGTATATGACCATCAACTATGGTTCAATTAAAGAAAAAAGACTAGTTGCAAATTTTATAGTCTTCTAAAAAACAAGACTCCGGCTCTTTGAAAATTTGGAAAAAATTGTCTTGTACCTACTTATACAAAGCCTTTTAGCCATTTTTTTCTTTCTTTATCCATATAATTAAGGGAAACAGTAGGTCAATGAATGTATGATCAAAGTATTAGAGTTGAGAGACGTAGAAACTGCAACACAAAGAAGCTGAGCAACTTTAGAATAGATTGCCTAGTTCCTGAACGATCCAAATAATTGAGGGAAAGAGTGATATCAGGAAAATTCTGAGTTTACAAATAAAATGAGTTTCCAAAGTGAGTTTATCAATTAGTTATCTGACATTTGTCATTTCCCCAGTGAGAAGAACATTTTCGGAAGGAATGCAACCTGATTATCTCATCAGAAAATAGCTGAAACCTGTCGTTTTTACTCAACAACAGTACAACAAACAAACCAAAATTATTATGCAATATTTAAAGTTAATGCAACATAAAGACAACACACTGAGTAAGACTGTCCATCAGTTAAATACACTGTTCAAAGCGGAATCTTTAGGTGGCAGTTTCTCTTCACATGTTTCCACTCGATCCTTTTTAGAAAGCTCAGTTCACACACACAAAAAGGCACTTTCCTTCTCTGGTTTTTCTGTTCACTTAACCAGACCACCCTTTCTCCTCTTCATTGCCTGATAAAATATGCTCCCTCAAAGACCAATTCAAATGTTACATCAAGAGATTTTTAAAATCCCTGGACAAAATAATAGCTGTGCCACCTCTGAAACAATTGCATTTTGATTGCATTATATGCATTTCTTTCATGAGTTACAGTCCTGTTAATATTTATTTTCATGCTTTATCTGTAATATTAAAGTGTAAACTCTTGTGTATGTCTTCTCTATAGGGGCTCAGTAAACAGTTGTCAAATACAATTAAATGATAATTCAGGTTTCTCCTCAAGTCTTCTCAGAAATGCCTTCAGACCACCTTTCCAAGATAATATTGCCCTCACCCCCATTCCCTAGCCCTGCTTTCTTTTCTTTATAGCACACATCATACTGGACACAATAGGTATTTGTTTATTGTCTGTCTCTTCTACCAGAATGTATGACCTACTTTATTTCATTTACTGTGCTAGCCTTTCTCCAGTGCCTAGAAATGTACATTCTCAGCATGGTATCTCTACATGACCTTAGGTCCAGAGTAGGAGTTGAATCAGTCAATGTAACCAGAAGTGAAAGAAATACCAACTGTGGCATATCAAGGCACTGGGTCTAATAATTTATATATTTTATCACAATTTAGTTGCAGGACATAGAGCAAGTCATTAACCCCTGATAGGTATCACTATGGTATAAAACCAGTAAGACCGTTAAATAAAGAATCTTTGAGTTTTGGTCTAATTCTATTACTCTCAGAGTAGCAAGTGAAAGACAATGAGGAAACAGAGTTCAAGTGGATGTTTGTGGGAAATGGAATGCTGTAGACCAGAGTAAGCAGGCTGCTCTTGGTGAAGGGCAGAGATAAAGTGAAAAGCTTCAGCGAGGAGAGAAAGTTGCAGAGGAAAGGGATGCTTTCAGATATACGGGCCTATCAAGAATGCTTTGGGAGAGGTGCTGGGTACCTGAGACCACGTAGAGATGCTGGGCTGATTGAGAAGAGGCCCTTAGGGAAGACGAAAGGCAAGCTGAAAGGGGAGGATGCGTATTATGTGGCAAGCTCCACATACTTTGCAATTTTGCCTCCCTTTCTAGTAAACAACAACTCTGCTGTGACTTTGTCAGGGCCTGGTTAAGCGCTTGACTCACATGTGAAAGTAAATTATTTTTATTTATTATTATTATTTTTTGGTATCATTAATGTACAATTACATGAGCCACATTGTGGTTACTAGATTCCCCCCACTATCAAGTTCCCACGACATACCCCATTAGTCACTGTCCATCAGCTTAGTAAGATGCTATAGAATCCCTACTTGTCTTTTCTGCGCTACACTGCCTTTTCTGTGCTCCCCGCCAACATTATGTGTGCTAATCATAATGCCCCTTTTTCCCCTTACCCCTCCCTGCCCACCCATCCTCCCCAGTCCCTTCCCTTTGGTAACTGTTAGTCCATTCTTGGGTTCTGTGAGTCTGCTGCTGTTTTGTTCCTTCAGTTTTTGCTTTGTTCTTACACTCCACAGATGAGTGAGATCATTTGATACTTGTCTTTCTCCTCCTGGCTTATTTCACCAGGCATAATACCCTCTGGCTCCATCCATGTTGTTGCAAATGGTAGGATTTGTTTTCTTCTTATGGCTGAATAATATTCCATTGTGCACATGCACCACATCTTCTTTATCCATTCACCTACCAATGGACACTTAGGTTGCTTCCATTTCTTGGCTATTGTAAATAGTGCTGCGATAAACATAGGGGTGCATATGTCTTTTGAAACTGGGCTCCTGCATCCTTAGGGTAAATTCCTAGGAGTGGAATTCCTGGGTCAAATGGCATTTCTATTTTTAGTTTTTTGAGGAATGTCCATACTGCTTTCCACAATGGTTGAACTAATTTACATTCCCATCAGCAGTGTAGGAGGGTTCTCCTTTCTCCACATCCTCACCAAGATTTGTTGTCTTTTGGATGGTGGTGATTCTTACTGGTGTGAGGTGATATCTCATTGTGGTTTTAATTTGCATTTCTCTGATGACTAGTGATGTGGAGCATCTTTTCATGTGTCTGTTGGCCATCTGAATTTCTTCTTTGGAGAAGTGTCTGTTCATATCCTCCACCCATTTTTTAATTGGATTATTTGCTTTTTGTTTGTTGAGGTGCATGAGCTCTTTGTGTATTTTGGATGTCAATCCCTTATTGGATGTGTCATTTATGAATATATTCTTCCATACTGTAGGATGCCTTTTTGTTCTACTGATCATGTCCTTTGCTGTACAGAAGCTTTTTAATTTGATGTAGTCCCACTTGTTCATTTTTGCTTTTGTTTCCCTTGCCTGGGGAGATACGTTCATGAAGAAATTGTTTATATTTATATTGAAGAGAGTTTTGCCTGTGTTTTCTTCTAAGAGTTTTATGGTTTCATGACTTACATTCAGGTCTTTGATGCATTTCAAGTTTACTTTTGTGTATGGAGTGAGACAGTAATCCAGTTTCATTCTCTTACATGTAGATGTCCAGTTTGAAAGCAAGTAAATTCTATACAAACCACATTAGTTCTCCATTTAATTTGACAAAATCTCTTCTTTATTTTTCCAAGCTGACTGGATTCTTCTCTTATCCTGTTTCTCCACAGCACTTTGTATTCTCATCCTACAATGTCTTATTGTGTCTAATGTTGCAAATTTCTGCCTTGTCTTGTCCCCCCACCACGTGTTTCCCCCACCAGTAAATTTGAGAAAGGCACTTTTTATCTTTGCTTTTTCTGCACCAGCCTAGTACAATATCCTGTAGTTTCTCTCTTTCTCATACCCACATATTTCTATGTTGAACTAAAGTAGGGCATGGCTTAAATTTAAGTTATATTAAAACTCTAGTCTAGCTTTGAAAATATTGACCCAAGACAGAGGTTTTGAAATTTGCCATATAAAACTACCAAAGGGCTACACATTTGAGAGAGAGCTATTTAGGAAGCAACCACTGACACATTAAAAAATCCACAAAACTTGGAAAATGGACGTCACAACTCCACGCTTTTTCTATACCCTGGTCAAAAGACGCGCGGTCCTTGGCCGCAATGACTTTGACCTTGAAAAAGACGCCGACGCCCAGCTATGTCTGAGTAGCAGGGTGTGGTGCCCGTTCCTGCGGCCACCGAGGGAAGGAGAGGCCCCAGCAACCCCAAACTCAGAGTCCTGACAGCTTCCCACGCCCTTTCCAAGCGGCAGGACCCACAGCGGTCTGCCGAGACTTCGAGGAGCGGCGCCCCCTCCCGGTGCCGAAGCAGCGGGGGCCCTGCCCACCCAAGCTCCGAGGACTGGGCCGAACAGCGTCCCACGCAGGCGCATTGAGGCCGGGGCGGGGCCGGACGCGGCGGGCGGTGTTTCCGTTGCCTGGCGCAGGGTCCGCGCTGCCTCCCGGAGCTTCTTCTGCCAGCATCGGTACCCTTCCCTGCGCCTGGCCGCCCCGCGCCCGCCGCTCGCCGGGACTTTCGCACGCTCGCGCGCCTCAGTCCGGGTGAGAGCTCGCCCGACCCGGGGAGGGGCTCGCTCCCGCGCGGGGAGCGGGGCGCCGGGCTCGCGCCGACGTGGCGGGCCGCGTGGAGGGGCGCTCTGCGCCCTGCGGGGAGCGCGGGGCTCGTGAGTGCGGCTGGTGAGCCTGCGGTCTCTCTCTTCCCTTGCAGTCCGGCATCACTTCCCCGAGCTGAGCCGTCGCCATGGCACCGGTAAGGCCGTGCGCCCCCGCGCACCGCGCGCGTTTGCCAACTTTGGAAGCTGCGTCAAGGGAGCTCGAGAAGTCCGAAAGAAAAGTTTAGGAGTAAATGAAAAATGCCTTCGAAAAGTCTCTTGGACCTTTCTCGTTCCCTCTTTGCTTTCCCCATCCCCTTTTCTGTGTCCCTGCTGCACCCCGCCGAGTCCCGCCGGAGCCTGCTCGGACCCGGGGAGCAGCCGTCGGGCCGCCGCGGCCGCGACGTGGCCGGGTTTTGTGCTCTCCCGGTTCGTGAGGGAATGTGTAAAAGTGGGCCCTCCCCCAAATCCGGAGTCGCTAAAATTAGAACCGGAGCTCATCTTGGTCCGGTGAGGCCACCGCCTGACCCCCGCCCCGTGCCTTCCTTTTTTTCCCCTCTGCTGTTAACTGAGTTTGAATAGTCTGGGTGGGCGTTGGCTCTTTCCTGTCGCGCTCCCGCCGAGGAGCTTTTCCCAGTTGCTCTCTTCAGTTACAGTGAACGGTGAACGGAACAGTTCGTCGCCGGCATTGATTTTTTTTTCTTTTCTTTTTCATGCCAGGGATTAAACAGGCTGTTTTTCTTAAGCAATCAACTCGTTGAACGAGTTCTGACTTGAATTTGCCTTGGTACTGATTGTGAACTTGACTACCTCATAATTGGCTTTTTTCCCTGTTCTTAGCATTTATCAAAAATGTAGAAGAGAGAAAATCGCTTAATTTATATAGTAGACTTGGGACACTTACTGCGTTATACAGTCTTTTGTGAATAATATACTAGTTCTTAACTCTACTCCAGAACTAACGTCACAGACCTCGGCAATCTTAACTGGCTTGTTAGAGTCAGGTAATTTTTTTAAACAAGTGTTTTTACTGCTCAAACAATGCCCTTTCATTATACTCTGTAGTTCACTTTTAAAAAATCAGATTGACTTACCAAATTTATAAAGTTTCGTGGTCCTTTCCAAGAGAAAATGGGAGGATTAAGATGTTGGTAACTTTATTAAATTTATACAGTGCTTCCATTCTTCCTCTTTTACACTTAAGAAATACTGCAGTCAACCAACTCTCATATTACTTCAGTTGGAAACTTTGGTTTGAGGTCTCTCCCATAAAAAGGATAATTTAATGTGGAATTAACTTTCCTTCCTGAGAAATGTAATAACATCATTTTCTGAAATAAGTTTTATTCAAATAGCCTCTATATTCTAAAAATTCACAGACACATCAGTTGATTTTTTGTAAAAATTAGTGCTCATAAGACCTTTGTGTTAAGTATTTTTTGGACCCAGCCTTTCAGTTTAGTAGTATGTATAATATGTAAACCTCTAAGCAATTGATTAATTGGAAGGACTTCATAACCCAGTTGGCATCATTTCTTTGGACAGCAGTTGCTGGCTGTTCTTTTCACTTTCTAGTCATGCGCGTATTCATGAATGTATGAAGCTTTAAAGTCCCCACTATGTGCCAGGTATTGTTAGACATGGGAAATGGAGCTAAAATTTATTGATATAGCAGATGCACCGCCAGGTCCCTTGTGTGCATTATTTAGTGCTCATGTTGCAGTTTTGGAAATAAGTAATACTATTTCAGTTTCACAGAAGAGGAAATTGGGGTTACTTAGCTGGCATTAGTCATGCAGATGAAAGAGGAAAGGCATTATATGTAGAGGCAACAAGAGCAAGTGAAATACTCAAGGGTATAAGGAGTTTGGCCTGGAGGTGAGGCAGTGTGGTGTTGCTGGAGGGAAGGTGCAGTCACAGGGAGCAACGGAGGCCCCTCGTTGGGGGCTGCCAGAGCTAAAGGATGGGAGCTATTCTGTCAGCAGTGGAGTACTGTGGGAGGGTTGTTAGTTAAGTCCGGGGATTTGTACTTAACAAAGATGGCCCTGGCGCCCATGTGATTCAGTTCTGGGGATCATAGAAGGCCCCCTGGTAGTGCTGGAGGAGGTGGTAAGGGAGGGAGGGAGAGAAGCTGGGTATTGGAAGACCACTTAGAAACCTGTATAATCCCATTTTAAAGGCTTAAACTAGGTAGTGGCTGCAGCTTTATATGGGCGGCGACTGTAAGAGAGAGTGGACAAATTGGTTGTGTGAGTGGTGAATGTGTAGTTGGTGGTGAAGGATCAGGGCAAGATCAAGATGAGTGACTTGTCGGACTGAGTGGTTGATTGTGTTTCTTTGAGAAAGGAATGCAGGTTTGAGGTGGGTGAAGAGTGGATTTGTTGAATTCGAGTTCCCTATAAAACATTGGGGTGGTGCTGTCTAATAAATAGCAGGGTGTGTATGATCTTTAAATCCTCTTTCATCTTTACAGATCATCCATTTGTTTATATATTACTTATCTGTTCTTTAACTAAGAAAGATTTGAAGCTACATATTTCCTTTCTGTAGGACCAGCCATGTTCATTAGATTTCTGCCCCATTGTTTAGATATAAAAGGAAATAAACTTGTAAATCCATGCACACTTTTCTCTATAAACTTGTTTTCTGAAGCATTGGTGTGAATGAATTGGTTAGTCAAAGAACTTCAAGGATATTCACAAAATGCCCAATTGAACAATTATATAAAATAAAATCCCCCTCACTCCACTAAATACGTGCCAATTGGAGGCTAATGCATTTGCCCACTTTAACTGACTCAAGGCATCATCGTTATTCATGGACAGCTTAACTTTTCCATTTTGTTGGTATTTGCCAAGTGAGGCAGTCTTACACAGGCAGGGAGGTACAGGAACAGTATAAAGAAACAACAAAAATCCAAATCATATTGACAAAACCTTTGTTTTGTTAAGTTATCAAAAACCTGCTTTTCTGTAGCTGTGCATGTTATGTAAACTACTTTATAGTGATGCTTTTATTCTTTACAGTTGGTTTTAGTAAAGGGGTCAGAAGGTAGTTGGACAATTAGACAAAATGGAAAAAGCAAAAATTAGGAGCATGAAAGGGAGAAGTTATGTGAAACTAAGCAATGGCTATAATTGGAATTTCAGGCTTTGAACTGTAACTTTCACATTTTTTTTTGATGAGATTGGACATAGGGTAAGGATTAGGGCTAGATCTTACATCTGACCCCTAATTGATTGTGTTTGTACCTCTCAGGCCTCTTGGAGGTTCCAGTTTTTATCTGATCCCTATTTTACTTTGTAGCTCAAATCATAATTATGTCTTTTTTTACTGTCTTTTCCCTCTTTCCTTGATTATCTCATTTTTTTCTTAGTACAGTGATTCTCAATTTTTTTTTTTCTTGTTCATCAGTGGGACCCATTATCACAGGAAATATTGATGGGCCTATCCTATGTGCTTCAGATAAGACTAAATTTTACTGATGGGAGCGGGAAGGCAGAATGTGCCAATTTGGCCTTGCCCCCTCTCCACCTTTCCTGGTGGCCTCCAAAGGCTTTTTGTAAAAGACTCTCTCAGGCTTCTTCTGAGCCTCAGAAGACCTGTAATTAAAAATCACTGTACAGCTGCTTCACAGTTGCTTAGTTAAAGTGGTTCATGATTTCTGGTTCCTAATTATTATGTGGAATATGGGGTAGGCATTTGACTGAGTATTGATTTCATTGAACTAGAAGATAGATGTAAAGAGGATTTAGTTCTCTGTGTCTTCAGGAAAGCCTCAGTATAAAATGTTCCAGTCAGGTGAATGTTTCCTCATCTTTAAATTTGAAATAGTTGTTTCTGTATTGTTTTCCTGTGTCTTTAAATTTGGTGTCTAGTAAAGCAACCCTTCATTTTATTTTGGCATACACTAGTCTCTGAAGGTAAAGGACATTTCATTTAAAGCAAACAAACAAAACCAAGAAAATTATAGAGCTAGGAATGGATAATTTTGAAGGTGAGAGTTAAAAGAGTGAATTGTATGTTTTGGACATGTTCTTTCTGAGAATATTCTGTATAATTCCCTTGGTAAGGCATTCGGGGCAGAGGATAAAGGTAACAGGATGGGTGGAGGGAACAGTGCCTTACAGTTGGAATTAACCTGGGTGAGGTGTAAATGTTTAACTTGAGGCTAGTGGGAACTCCAGGGAACAGGGGAAGTCCTCTCACATGCGTCATGCAAAGTCACATTTGCCCAGTGGAGACAGTTTTATGTGGGCAGCTATGGTATTTGGACAGGATGTCCAAACAAGGGTTCTTCCCTCGTGACTCACATCTGTGATTCGCATCTGGTCCGTTAATACCGCCATGTGGCTTTGCTAGCTTTGACAATGACTCTGATCCCATGGAATGTAGCAATAGTGTTTCCTAATTTCTAGAAAGATCTCAAAAATACACCCAGCTGTGATTTTTTCTTAGTTTGTAGCTAAGATTCTGACGATGCTTCTCTTCCATCTTTCACCTTATTTCCTTTGGTCTTAGGGGTCAGATGTCTCTTCATGGCAAATCTCTCGTCTCCTTTGTTCATAACCTCTCCCGTTTTTAACATCTCTGTCTACTAGCAGCTTCTTCGTAGCCTATAAACTGGATAAAGTAATTTTTAAAGTTCTTTTAAAAGCATGTTTCAACAAAACCGTGGGAGTTTATAGAGATGCTCTGCCTCTCAGTTCCCTCTGGTCAGCCTTTACCCCCACCAGAGATCTAGCTGCCAAATCCAGTGCCCCCTTTTCAGTCTTACCCCTTACTTCATTTTCTTGTGGTGTTGGACACTTCCTTTTCTTCCTTTTTGAAACATTTTTCTCCTTTGGCTTCCATGCCACCACCCTCTCTGGATTTTCCATTTGCCGTTGGGAGGCCATATAGCACCGTGGGTAAGAGCCTATGTGCGGTGGCCTGGGTTCATGTCACAGCTCTGGCTTGGCTTGCATGCTGGTCACGTGGGTGATGTGCCAAACCTTTCTGAGCCAGTGTGTCTCTTCATCTGTAAGACTGGGTCTCACTGAGAGGATCCATGGGAAGCTCGGAGCACTGGTGTGCGGCTCACTGCTGCATTCAGCAGGTTAGCTGCCATTCTGATTGTAGGTGGCTTTCCCTGTTCCTTGGGATCTTCTTCCTGCCCCACTAACACCACCTGTTGTGAGAGCCTCCCACAGCTCCAGTTACTGCCTGTGTGCTCGGGAAGCCTGCTTCTCTTCCAGTGTGTCTGCTGTGGAGAAATGGAAAGCCATCCATCCTATCCTATTCCCCATCCAGAAGAGGAGTCATCCTAAATGGTCCCCTTCTGCCCAGGCCCTCTTCCTGTCTGTTCCTTTCCATTTCCAACTGTTCCTGACTTAGTTCTTGTTCCTGTGTTAATAGTGTTTGAAACGGTCTCCCTGTCTTCCCTCTTGCACAGTCTATCCTGTCGCCTCCACTGCTGCCCTGGTAAATACCACCGTGCAGAGTTGACATCGTTTTTCCCTGCTTAAATTCCCCATGGCTGTCCCTTGCCTGTGGGGTGAAGTCTGAACTTCTCAGCATGGCTTTCCAGTGCCTTTCACCCCCCACCATGACCTTCCCCTTGTTTATTTTTCTGTCCAACCTTGCTGTTTGTTCCAGTCTGTTAAAAGACTTTGTCCAAATCACCACATTGTTTATTCTGCATGTTTTTGTGCATGCAGAAATTTGTTTTTGCACTTCTCTACTTTCCTGAACCTGCTTGTAAAAAATCACAGACAACTTTCAAGACATTTTGGGGAAGTTTTTCTGATTTCTTTCCACCATTCCCAACTCAGTCCCTCCTTTATGCATTCACTTTATATGCTCACATTACATGGAATAGGAAACCCTATTAAAAAATGTCTTTCAATGTAATTTTATCAACTTCTCAATTAAAATAATTGTATTCTTCTGGCCCATGAACTACCCACTGTCTTTTCAGGCTTTGCTAGGTTATCTTAAAAACCCTAAGTGAACACAAAGAAGCAGGACTAGATGAAAAGTTGTGTAATAAGAGTGTTGCTCAGAGTTGAGTGCCTAGGGCAGGGCATCAATTTTTAATGCAGGCTCAGCTTGCTCCTGGATCAAAGTGACAGGAGTCTTCCTGGGAAGGAAGGCTGCAGGGAAGTGCCCCCTGTGAGCCAGGAGGTGTTGGTGGGGTTTGATCACTGGGGTCGATGCCTGAGGGAGGAGGGCTGTAGGAGCCAGCTGTCCCATTTATGGTACTGCCTGTGGGCCAGGAAAGCTTGTGCATTGAATTGGTACTGTTAATCCAAACTGTAAGTCATCCACTTCCCATTTCAAGTGGGGTTACATATCCTCATCCAATGGTAAATTTATTTAAAGACTGAACATAATACAGAGCAAGTGGCTTGCTGTTTGTTACATGCTTTGTCATACTAGCCATATTATGAATATGTAACAGTATATTCTGTCTCAGGTTCTCAAAGGCACGGTGGCTGACTTTCCTGGATTTGATGAGCGGGCTGATGCAGAAGCTCTTCGTAAGGCCATGAAAGGCCTGGGTAAAAATCAGACTCCTTTTTGTTCTTAAAAACAAAAATGTGGCACTTGTTTTTGCCAAACAAAAAATCATTGATTTATAGTAAGATTAGTTTTAGAATATTGTGATCTGAGATATGTAGAAGGAGAAAAAATACGTTAAGATAACAAAATAATACGACTGACCATCCCTAATACTCTGTCTCTAGAACTAAACCGGAAGTTAAATTCAGCCTCTTCGTTTTTTAGCTTTTCAGTTTCACCTGTATAATTGCCTGAGTAGATAAGGAGACATTCCTGAGAGTGATCGGCTCTGCAGCTCTCTGTGCTGGTCAGATACTCCCTTCACAAGTCTCTCCCATTGTACTGTCTTCTCTTTCCCCAGTCTCCTTTTCTAGCCGTTTAAAAACCACTCATCTCAAAGATTTCCACGTGTACCTTATCTCTCCCTGTCCTGAAGCCCCTTCTGCACAAGTGTCCATGTGTAGGGATCCCACCTGCTTTAAACTTGGCTCTGATCCCTTCACTCTGCATTCTGAACATCTTGGGAGATTTCCTGCTCTCGCAGACTAGGGGGCTGGCATTCTGGCCGTACAGCCTTGGTTGTATCTTCCTTAGTATCCCAGCCCAGCAGGTGGGACTGAGCTCCTATCACTGCTGTGTTCTCTGATGCAGCCATGCTGAGTTATCTGCCTTTCATGGAACTCTGTGTTTTCCTACTGCTGAGCTTTGCCCTCATCATAAAAGCCTGTCCTTTCTATATCACTGTCTCAAAATCCTTCCATTCTTCAAGACTGTTTTGGGTGTCCGTTCTCCGTGACACTTTCCCCAAAATTGTCTTCCACCGCAGCTAAGAGAACCTCCCGTGAACCCCATTTAATACCTAGACCTTTCCTGAGGCACTTGGCATACTCTGCCTTAGCTCCTGGTGGTTTGTGTGTTCTGTATTTTTCACCTTAAATTGTAACTTGAAACAGGGTGTGTATCTTTCTCCTCTCTTAATCCCTGGTAACATTCAACACATTGTGCCTTGTGAATAGCCTTTATTTGAGGAACTATTTGTTACAAGAAAACTAGGTGCACCAAGTTTTTTAGAGGTCAGGGGTGTTTTTCCACCTACTTTATAATGCATCAGAAAGAGGGGATAGTATGAATGGGAAATACAACATTTTATATACTGTAAGTTTTGTAGCTTAATAAACTAATAAAATGTATTTTATGAGGTAAGGAATTAAAGTGACCGGGGAGCTGGTTACAGAAGTGACTGAAAGAGTGGGCATGTGGGAATCGAGGTATAATTGTTTGAACATAAATTGCAGGCACTGATGAGGAGAGCATTCTGACTCTGCTGACATCCCGAAGTAACGCGCAGCGCCAGGACATTGCTGGGGCCTTCAAAACTCTATTTGGCAGGGTAAGACCCCACTTCACCCCAAGGTAGAAATGTGAGAGCACCTGTATGTTCTAAGACTAATTTGAAATCTGCTAGTGTTCTTTTATAACATTATTTTATGATTCTGACTTCACTACTCCTTTTTTCCTTCCCAGTTTGATTACTAGCTGTTGGTCACACTGCTCACCTGGCTTATCTTCACATAATTGATTTCCTTGCTTGATGTTGTAGAGGCCAGAAGATCAATCCCATGGTGATAGCTGTCCCTCTTTTCTTCTGTGCTTCCCATTCAGGATTGTTTTAGTATCCACTTTCTAAGTATAAACTTGTATTAGAATATGTTTTGTTATGACAGTCACTGTTACTTCCTTTTAGAGTTGTATTTTAATAAATGAGTTAATGCATTGATTTAAATGCTCTTATTTGATTAACAGTTAAAAGTAAAAGCTAAGTCATTGCTAAATGAATTCAGTGCATACATGAAAAAACTTAAACGTAGTTTTGTTACTCTGAAAACTTGTGTTCGTTATTTATTGAAAAACAAATGCAAAGCAAAACAAAGTATTCTCAACATACAGTGCCCAGTGTGCTGAAACTGAAATGGATAACAACAGCTTTTCCTTTCATAACTATATAGTTTTCCCATAGCAGTTGTCCCTCATTAGTCAGGAGCATAACAATGAACATAGATTACATATTAAAATATTATTAGGTATTGAGAGAAAAGAAAAAGTTGCTTTGTTTAGGTATGATAGGCCAGATTTTGTTATTTATAAAAATGTACTTACTATTTTTTAGGGGGGGAATTTTTTAAAAAAAGATACACTTTTATCAGAATAGTATTTTAAAATAAAATACGTTTAGCCTACTTTTATTCTTTTTTTTTATCTCTTGCAATTAATAAAAACAGCTCTTAAAAACAAATACCTTGACACATAGTGGTTTTGCTTTATTTTAAGCTTTAGATCAGATGTCATAAGTACATTATTCAAGGCTATGGGTTTTGTTTAGCTCATGTGCCTTTCTTCTTCGAGGTAGCAACACAAGTCATTAGACCAGACCAGGTGCTTTCAGGGTGGTGTGGCTGTAGTTGAAGTAGGGAGTGGGAGGATGAGGGGGATAAAGGGGCGTAAAAATTCTCAGTCATAACATAAGTTGGTCATGGGGATAGTAGCACAGCACGAGTCGTTCTGTAACATCTCTCTATGTTGACAGTAACCACACTAGTGGGGGTGAGTGTTTAATAATACTGGTAACTGTTGAACCACTGAGTTGTATACTTGAAACTAATATAAGATTATATATCAACAATACTTAAATTGAAAAAAAAAAGAATTCATTAGAGCAAAGGGCTCTTTCATATTTAAATATCATTTATATTTAAGGAAGCTCCTTAAAATTCCTGCCTGGTTAACAAATTTCTTTTTTCTGTGAATTAGGACCTTTTGGATGACCTGAAATCAGAACTGACTGGAAAATTTGAAAAACTAATTGTGGCTCTGATGAAACCTTCTCAGCTGTATGATGCTTATGAGCTGAAGCATGCTCTCAAGGTAAAAGGACTAGTGAAAGGAACATTCCTGTCACGAATATGAATAATAATATTTATGTTGGTAATTACATCTCATAATTTTTATATTAAATATTTGAGTTATTTCAGTGAGGGTTTCTTGGAAGACAAATCTGTATAGGATAATATAGGTGATAAGAAAAGGAGGGAGAAAATGCAAGTGTGTCATTTAATCTTTTTTGTATAGTTAACTCAATAGTGACTATATAAAATTTTAATATTTTTACAGCCTTTTGTACCATATTTTTATGCCTGTTTTTAATTTGAGATGTGTTTTTAAATGTTACAGGTTAGATACTTTAACTTTAAGGTAGAAAATTGCGTTGTTAGGGAATAATATGTTAATCACTTCAGGTCAGAAAATAAAGCTTCAGGGAGAATTTTCAGATAGGGAAGATTTTCTAATGCATTCCCGCCCCCCCCACTTGTAAACACTAAAATAAAGTAGCTAGTAAACTTGTTGTAATTTCATTGTAGCAAATAGCTGAAGGTGTATTCCCTTGACTGGTGTTTGGAATATTGTATGACTGTGACTACATTGAAACATTTGTTTATACTTATGGGACAGGAATTAGTTCAATCAAAGCAGATTTTGAATGGGTAAAACCTAAAATCTAACAAGGAGATAATGCAGTACAGGGATTTGCACATATGGGGTAGAAGGAGAAGAGGGTTTAAAGTTAGGAGCCTTTCTCTGCTTAGTCTCTTCATTTTCCTGTAATGATTCTTTCGGAATGAACACAGTCTTAGGTTTTGAAAAAGGGCATTTTTGTGGCGTGCTTCTGAAATGTCAGCAGTAGCTGAAATTTTGCCAAAGCATAAACCTAGGTTTTTTCAGTGCTTGACTTTTGGTGATAAACAGAAATATAAAGAGAATAAGGCTGAAGTAGACTGTCTTTTAAAGTTAAGTTCAGCTATATCATTGCTTGTTATTTCCTAATTTAGCAATGTACATAGGACTCTTATAATCAGAAAAAGGATAACCAACTGAAATTATCTTTCACAAATGCAGAAAGCAAGTTTCAATTCCTTTATACTGATCCAGCTCCTAATAACTAAGCAGTGCTAGATGTATTATTCCTTTGGTGCAGAATTTCCCTGTGGAATCTATAGAGAACTCAACTTGGGAGCAAGAGTTTATGTTTTGAGATACAGATTAAGTATCAGTGCTCCTCCATGTAAATTTACTTAAAGTTTTCACTTTCACTATTTCAGCCTTTTTATTTCATGTTTCATTAAAATGTTTTAAATGATTTAGAATTAAACTGATAACATTACAAACTTATATAATCTATTATATGTTGTGTATTAACACACGCATACATAGAATCAATATGGTTTTTCATTAGACAAGGATTAAATTGTCTTTGAAGAGAAAAAAAATTTAAATCTGTAACTAATAAAACTGTATACAATGAAGTGAATATTATGTTGGATAGTGATATAATTATCTAATTTGGTAGCATCTATTTTAGGAAAATAACTTTCTTTTTAATCTTATTGACATGTTTCTATTAAAAATATCCCAACAGGGAGCTGGGACAGATGAAAAAGTACTAACAGAAATTATTGCTTCAAGGACTCCTGAGGAACTGAGAGCCATAAAACAAGTTTATGAAGAAGGTAAATGTTTTGAATTGTATTACCCCTTCATCTCCACTTTCACTTGTTCATTTCTCTAAAATGAGTGTTCTTCAGAGTTACGGAGGCAGGCGCCATGGGACTGCTGTCTAAATGAGTGAATGAATGAGTAAGCAGTAATTCAAACTAGTTTTCTTCATTAAAGAAAAGACTACATTTTACTATACCTGTAGCTTCTTTATTGTATACAAGAAAGCTTCTGATGAAGGTGGAGTGGAGTTGACTTTTATGTAGGATTTGGAACTAGTGTATTGATACATTATCATATTTTATGTTAACTTCAAGATGTACTTGTTTTTTCTTCCTTAGTAAAATTCAGTTTTATGTTAGAAGTAAGAGTTATCCACATGGCCCTTTTGGGATCTGAGAAAAGAAACTGCAATGTGTTCTTTCTTATACAACAACAACAATAGTATTATACATAGCAGTTACAGTAGGGTAGCTCTGTTCTTGTTCCCGGACCTGATTCCAATGGGTGTAAGTGTGTGTGGGAGGGAGGTATTCCCACACACAACACCAAGCCATTCTTGAATACTAGCAGGGAGTCAGAGAACTCATTCTGATGATATCTGCCCAGAGACAGCACCAGATTCCCCAGGTTAAGGGCTCTGCCTGCCCTCCATCCCCAACTCCAGGTGCTGGTCGCAAGCCCTGGTCAGTTCCCTGTGCTTCTGACCTACATACGGCTACAGACTGGAGGTTTCCACGATCTCCTCCTTAGGTTTGAGCTGCTCACAGAACTTGGGACAAATGTTTACCAGTTTAATAAAGAATACAAGTTAACAGCCAGAAAACAGATGCACAGGGCAAGGTCCCGAATAAAGGAGCTTCTACTCCGGTGGAGCTTGGGGTCTGGCTCGGGGGCACCTGGGAGCATTCGGTTTCCACAAGCATAGACACGCCCTCACCCCTGACTGAGAAGCCAGATCCAAGAGCACAGGCGCTCCTCGGGGTTTTGTGAGGGCTTCACTGCATAGTCGTGATTGACTAAATTGTTGGCTATTGGCTAATTCAGCCTCCAGCCCCCGCTGTTGGGTGGGGTCCAAAAGTCTCTCATTAACAGGACAAGACACCCATTTCACCTTTTAAGACTGCAGTGTTCTCAGGAACTATTAATGAAGAGGAAATATACCTGGGAGATACATATTTGGTCCTGTGAATGACCAGCTGTGTATTTTTTGTGACTCATTATATCACAGAAACCTTATTTAAGTCAGAGTTGATAAAAATGTTTTAGGAAATGTAGTTTTAGCTAATGGCAGTGCTTGAATACTCTACATTTTGATTTTTTGTGGGAGGTGGTGGAAATATCTGCATTTGAATCTGAAGCAGTGGAACCAAGAAAATGAAATAAAAAGTAAAGGTCGAGTGTCTCTTTCATGTCAGATTTCCTGTCAAGACTGTTTCCCCTGCCTCTCTGAAGAGGACCAGACCATCCATATGTCAGCTGAATCAACAGAGCTCCAAGCCTAGTGCCTTCAGCTATGAAAATTGGTCTCTATCTTGGTGTTAGTTTATTAATCTTAGGAATGACATTGTAGCCCAGCAAGTCAGAACAGTGTGAAAGTTACAGCAACTAAATAATTACCTTTCCCCAGTGCTGGAGCTGTCTTTTCTGCTTCCCTTTTTAAGTTGGATAGGTCCCAGCCACTAAGGCAGAGGTGATACGGGTGTGTATCTCGTATCTCCACTGCAGATGATCACCTTTGAGTATGATTTGATGTAATATCCAAAGGTCTCATTCTGGGGATGTTTACCTTGGTGAGTGAACCTTTGTGCTGTTGGATGCCACATGGAGTGCCACCAGGGTATATAATACCTGTGAAGGCGCATCCTCTCTTGTTACTGTTATACTAGCTATGTGTCTGGCAGTATCCTGGCTGTCAGGAATGACACAAAAGCTGTGTGTAGCATTGTTCCTGTCCTCGAGGAGTTTGCAGTCTATTTAGGGGTAATATGACTTAGAAAAATTATAGTAGAGGATAATGAAATCCAAACTAAAGTGAAATATTAAAAATATTTAATGCTAGAATTCATTCACAGAAGAAAGGTCATCATGGCTTTGGATGTTAGGAGAGGCTTCGTGGACCAGCCAGAGAGGGTTTTAAGACTCGGTGGGTTTTGGACAGCCAAAGAAGGCATTTTTGGCATGACAGCATTTTGGTCACTGTCTGCAATGCATAGAAACTGGAATGAGGAAAGTATGTGGAGGGAATGGAAAGAACCTGGCTTCAGTGGAGGACATGTACATATCTGTTGTGGGAGATTGAGTAAACACAGTTAGGCTATGTTATAGATGGTTTTGCATGACTGGATTAGAAATCTGGACTTTATTCAAAGGTATTGGAAGTTCTGAAATGGGTGGTAGAATGTTGAAAGAACAGTGTGGGAGTGAGAAGATTTGAATAAAGAGGCTAATTAGGTAGTTGTGAGTTTGGGGGTAGGTAAGCTACCAGCCTAGGTTGCTAGGAGGTGCATCAGAGGAAAAATATTTGAAAGGATTTGATGGTTAATTATATAGAGATGTTGGTGTAGAAAAAGGAATAAAAGATTCCTTTAAGGTTTTGTATTGGGAACTGGTTGAAATAAACATGTAGCTCTTAGATCTTTTAAAACAGAAGTTTTAGGCTTTCAAAATTTGCCTGCTTTCAAGTAATAACTAGATATTTAAATGCCTTATAATGAATGATACCTCCTTTCCTTCAGTAGCGGCTGTTTGAGAGTTAAGTGAAAAGGGCTTGCAAACATTAGTAGATCCCAGTTTTCTCCTTTGCTATGACATTATGTTGAATACCTAGAAACAGAGGTAGGAAGGGCCATATTTTAAAACATCATTGCTGTCTCCTCAGAGTTAACTTATATCTGCTGCAGAGGAAAAGTATCTTATTAGGGGAAGCAATGGCCATGTCTGAAGAAAGAATACTCAGAGGATAGAAGACCTTTGGAAACTAATTATATAAAACATTTGAAAGAAAGCAAAATAAAGTCTGAAGTTATGATTATTGGTATGTCAGAGGCTTTCCAGTACCATCATGTGTCTACAGATTAATAACTAGATTGGTTGAGAGAATTTCTAAATGGCTGAGTCATAATTTAGGTTTGATTGAAGTACTTTTTTTGGAGACTTTAATTTGTTTTCATCCAGCCACTCAAAGTATTTGCTTTTAGCCTTTAGCACTCACAGACAGAATAGAGAACATTTATGCAAATCCAATATTTCTTCTTTTGTGTCTCTTCCATTTGATTAATGGAGCAGAATATTTTTTTCCAGTTGAAGTAAGTTATAAATAAGTATGAAACTATTCTGTTGCAGAATATGGCTCAAGCCTGGAAGATGACGTGACTGGGGATACTTCTGGGTTCTACCAGCGGATGTTGGTGGTTCTCCTTCAGGTATTGAGTGGAGACTATTTACAGTTTGATATAGAAATTCAAAGCTGGACTGGTCTGACTCTAGTTAAGTAAGGTCACTTAAAATTCTTTTAATCATTTTTGGTAGCTGCTTGATTCTGGCAGTATGTGCGGTGCCTGTGTTTGTGTTCAGAATATTTGACTTGCACTTAGCTGACTTGTAGTTTTTCTTTTTGGAATTACAATCCTCTTTTATTCATAGAATTTAAAATCAAGCATGTCAGATCAGTTCTGGACAGTGGTATATACAATGTAGCAAAATATTGTAGGATTGATATGATCTTAATAAAAGCATATCATTCCCAAGAGAAAAAGCTTTAATGTGCATGACCATCAGGTTGAACCATTTTTGCTTTTGAATGAAAATGCCCAAGTATTCAGTAATGTGCAGTATTATCTTTTATAGGCTAATAGAGACCCTGATGCTGGAATTGATGAAGCACAGGTTGAACAAGATGCTCAAGTGAGTGATACCTATTATGTGATGACTTTATTATGATAGATACGTAAATGAAAAAAGGATCCATGCTAATGACAAATGATAATGTGATCTGTAGTAGTATCTAAAAATAATCTTATTTATGGATCCTTTACACATCATAAGACCCATGTGAGTAAATATCTGACCAGCAAAATACTTTATCCCAAAGCTGAAATGAAGTAAAATACATTATGTGTAAATAGTGAGTTCCACCTGGATATGTTATTTTGTGTGTGTGATTATGGAACATTCACAAAATACTTTTACCAAAAAAACAGGTGTTATTGATTCCACTGCTAATGGGGCAGTAGGTCTCTGGCAGGAGAAGGTAAACAAAGAATAAAGTATTTTAGTGATAAATGCTGTTCTGTTGTGTAATAGATGATAAGTTACTATAGTATTTGGAAACCCCTCCACCTTCCCTTTGGTAGAATTCTAAGTAGGATTGTTCCTTTGTCGCTGCTTTTTAGTGACTCCCAAATGAAATTTTGTACTTAATTGGCTTTAAATCCCAATATACTTTATAGTATGATTTATAAAGTAATCAAATGCAGGAAGTAAGTGTTAGGAAATTTGAAATGTGACTTTGAAAACTGGAAATTGGTAATGAAGGAATTACTTGGATTCCTAGAATCACATACAGTCCTGTCTATTTCAATTAATGTTTCAAGTAGTAAAATACACAATTCTGATTGTTAGTCATATACCGTTGAGAAAGGAATTGCTGTATTCACTCTGATTGATCACCTCTACGAAACAGCCATTGGATGTGTGATCTGACCTTGCTAGTGGAAAAGAGGAGAACATTATTCTAATCTTGGGTGGGTTGATTTCATAATGGCTTTGCAATATTGTCGTCTTTGTCTAGCTGGGGAGAGAAAAGGAAGGGAAACGAACGTTTAATGAGGGCTGTCTGTGTAGTATTTGTGCTTGCCTCTCTATACCCTATAAAATGCAAATCTGTTTAATAAAATGCACATCCTCCAGTGGATCCCACTCTCCTCAGGATAAATTCCAAGCCCCGAAGTACTTTTTATAAGCCTCTTTGTTATCTATCCCTTGTTTTCTCATGCCTCTCTCTTGTTCTTTCTCTCCTGGCCGCTTCCTCCACCATTCGCCTAATTTCTCCTCAAGAGTCAGTCATCAGGTTAGCTACTTTTTAGGTAGCCTTCTTGCCCCCCACCCCCACCCCCAAGTGTGTGTCAGGTGCCCCTTGCGGGGAAAACTGTAGCATCTCAAGCTTCCTGGCTTCCTGTCACAGTCTGTGCCACCTTCCACTGAAGCTGCCTTTTTGCTTTTCCTATCTACCCAGGGCACTGAGCTGTCAGTTCTGTTGGTATTCTCTGCATCTAGCATATTGTAGGCACTCAGTAAATAACTGATGCATGAACTAGTGCATGACTTAAAGTAAAGGGTATCATTTTCTTTCTGTAGATAAGGAAACAGGCTCAGGGATTTGAGAAACAAACCCTGGTCCTCACTGAGCAGCAGTGGAGCTGGGGTTCCCACCTGGGCTCCTCTGACCCCAGAGCCCTTCCTCTTTCACTAACAACAGTCTCAGGGTTCTTGCCTGTTGTCCTTTCTCATTTCCTCTACTGTATAAAAGATTTGCTAAGTGCCGGTTGTGGAAACACAGATCTAGATTAAAATCCCCGGTCTTGAGGACAGAGTGCTAGAGGAGCCCTTCAAACCTGTACTCCCATGCCAAGGGCTTTGTTCATTACTGAGATGACCTGCTGCTTTCCAGGCACCAGCCCATTGTGGGCTTTGTAGGAGGCGGTGCTGATTCTTACAATTACACTTGTGCTCTCAAGAGTAGGGGTTCTGGGTGCTTTTCAGTGGTCATGGTAAAGGAAGCCAACTCTAGTGTCAGATGACTCCAGTGAGGCCCACTGGGAGGTTTCCCAGCACAACCAGTGATGTAATGAGAGCATTGCTGCAGTCTGAGGCTGCTGGGTGGAAGTAGTTTATTTTTACCTCCTTTTCATGGATTTTTCTTCTCAGAGCACTGTGCATAGCAGTGCTTCTCAGACTCTCATGTGCATTTGAATCACCTGCAGATTCTGACTCAGTAGGTCTGGGTAGGGCTTCAGATTCTGCATTTCTAACCAGCACTCAAGGGATGCCCTTGCAGGTCCTGGGTCCACACTTTGAGTACCAAGGTTTTATACTTGACACCTGTCACGCAGAGGCTATGACCATTAAGAACTCTGAAGGGGACACTTAGTACATCTGAAAAACTGCCTTATAAAGTTACATTAAACTCTCCCTTGAGAAAGTCCAGGCTTTCCAGTGACCAGGAGCAACATAGAGCATGCTACACTGGCTATTAGCCTTTGATTCTCTAAGATATATTATTCTGTAAAATGAATTAAAACATTAATTCAACCTGTTAAAAAACAACTCTCCTTCAGCATTATAAAAAAGAACACATCAATATGTACGTTATAGCAAGGGCAGTAGACTGTTACCGCTAATGGGAGTTTAAGATTTCAGCTGAGACAGCTTCCTAATGGCCCTTTCATAAGTTTTTGAATTTTCTTCTCTACTAAAACCTGGCACTAAGTGGATTCCTGTTATTTCAGGGATTTGATAAAGCACAATGAATCATTCACCTGGAAATTGAAGTAGATAATCTACTTTACTTTTTTATATTTTTAGTGTGTTAAACTTACTTTATACCTCCTTCCTTGCCAAATCCTTATTTTAGGATTTCCCTGGAGAGAAAGTTGAACTTTTAGGGGAAACTTTTTTGGAAGAAGGAAATTAATGTTTACTGAGTATTTGCTATTGATTACTTGACACTGTTCAATGCATTCATTACATAAGTCATATAATCTCCATTAATGACTCTGTAGAAATATTATTCCTACTCGGCAGATGAGGACACTGAGGCCCAAGAAGAGATTAAGTAACTCATTTAAGATCTCCCAGACAAGGACAAGAACCAGGTCATTCTGACTCCCACATCTTTGTATTTTGTACTGAACCAGAGATTACCCAGCTGTGCTCAGGCTAACCTGTAAAGTCCTTTCTGAGTGAAGTGGGGAGAGTGAGGAGGTGTGAGGTCTAGAACATTGTGGATATTGGGCATCATCATTTAGAAGAAAGAACCCTAATGTTAAACAAGACAAAACAAAACTTCTAAGTATCATTGCTGCACATAAAGATGCTCTCATAATTATTACATGTGGTTTAATAGTTCTAGAATACATATTTGTCCCAAACACAGTTCTTGCAGGAAAATTAAGAGGTTATGGTTAAAAATGGCAATTGCACCAATTATTTCCTCATAACAAGCTTAACTGCTACACCTACTAGAGAAAATTCCTAAAAATACAGAATAGTTGATAAGAAGGGGGTGCTTCAGCAATACCTGCAGTATTGTATAGGATATGCCCTCTCCTCCTCCTAGGTGTTTGTATATATCTGTATGTAGAAAACATACTAAAGATGTAGTAACCAGCATCTTTAGGATGTTGGTATTCATTATAATTTTATGTTTTTTTCTATTTTACAAAATTTCCTAGTGAATGTGTGTTATTTTGGTAATTAGATTAAAAAAGTTATTTTAAGACAGGTCTACAACACCATGATACAATTCTGAAGTTTAAATACTTACATGACTTTTCATGCTAATTCTTTTTTAGTTTTGAAGAGCATACTCACATGACCAGAAGTGATACTGTTTATCATTAAAGCAAACTAATTTCAAAATTGGGTATAAAAGATGTGTTTCATTTTTCTAAAAAAAAATTCCTGGAAATACAGTAAGAAATAGATCTGTACCACCATAATCTACATTCTTAAATCTTCTGTGCTCAGACTTTCTATATCCAAACATGTGCTATGATCATATCACTTCCTGTCCGTATTTGGTTTGCCATTTGTGGGCATAAGGGCAGCTCCAAGTAGCACTTTAAACATATTGCATTTGTCTTGGTTAATACGTGTACTTACTGAACTGAATAACTAAAAGGGTAGTATAAATATTTTAAAATCGATTCTTTGAGTTTTAATAAATTAGCCACATCTTAGTAAGTGGACTCAGATTTAATGGTGATATTTGCATATGATTTAATTTTTTTCAGCAATTACACAAACACGAGAGAGCATATATTCTTTTCCATTTAAAAAAGCAAATACAGACACTTAAACTATTAAACAGTTATGTGTAAAGTGCCTGCTATATGCCAGGCATTGTGCTATATTGTACCACACCTTTTGAAAATTCATTGTGAATTTTTAGACATGTGAAATTTTTTATAGCTAGTTTTATTTGGTTAAATTTCAATTGTACAGAGAAAATATGGAGTTTTCTTTTTATTATGTTATTGAACTTAGCTTCTAGTTAAAGTCTTTCCCAATCTGTAAATGGATGTGTCAACAGTGAAGTAATTAGAACTTTGTGCCTAGCGTACCATTGCTTCTGAAAGATTGGAAGTTATTGCAGACATTTGGGGAACATTTAACCTAATATCATTGCTGTGTTACTGCTTTGGCCCATGAGCTTTTTGTGGCACAGTTCAGTGGCCAGCTCCAAAGCAGCTCCAGACTCAGCTCACTGAGTTTCAGAGTAGGAAACAGTAGATGGGATAGTATAAGATGATGAATCAGGCAAATTAATAAATATTCAAGGAATAAAACACAAGTGTGATTAAGAACCTGGAGTCAGAAGAGGAACATTTTACTAATTGACGATGAAATTTTCACAGGCTTTGTTTCAGGCTGGAGAACTTAAATGGGGGACAGATGAAGAAAAGTTTATCACCATCTTTGGAACACGAAGTGTGTCGCATTTGAGAAGGGGTGAGTGAAAAAAATGTGTATGATAAAATCATTTTGAAAGTACAGGAGCCAGTATGCCAACATACATGACACATAAGAGACACTTAATGAATCCTAGAGATTAGTCTAACTTTCACTATTAGGGTGATGGGAGGTAGGCCTTCCTCTCACATTGTTAATCTCCAAGTCACAGATCACTGGTCTATAGCTCAATACAAGTATTTCCTCCTATATGATAGTGCCCAAGACCTCATCTCTTGATAGTCATCAGTACTTGTATCCCCAGGTGGGAGTGAGTTCAGTGGCAAGTGACAGAAAACCCCACTAATATTGGCTTTAAAAACTGATCTTTCTTGGTTGATTTGGAAGGAGTACCCTGACTGGTTTGGAAGAACCTGGGCTCTTTCTCTTCTGCTCTGTTGTCCTTAGTGTTTTGTTTTTCTTATCATGCTCAGTACCTCTCTGTCGTCACAAGATGGCTGCTGTATCTCCAAACATATCAACCATTTTCACAACAAGAAGACAGAAAAGTGTTAACTAATCATAACTATCACTTATAAAGAAAGAGAAAGGTTTTTCAGAAACTTCTCTAGCAAATTTACCTTAAGGTTTCATTGGTTGTAACCAGTAAGGAAGGGCTGGGAAATCAGTAGAACAAAACATTTATCACCCATTGTTTAGGGCTTGGCATATTGAGGCCATGAACAAAACCAGGGTTCTTAAATCAGGAAAAAGGGGTGATTGATGTTTGATAGGATAGTATCTGGTAAGAGTAAATATCTTCTCTCTGGAAAGAATGATCCTGATGTGATTAAGAAATCATTTACCTTTTTTCTAGTGTTTGATAAATACATGACTATATCAGGATTTCAAATTGAGGAAACCATTGACCGAGAGACTTCTGGTAATTTGGAGCAACTACTCCTTGCTGTTGGTAGGTAATTTTGCATATATGTAATATTTATGGTGTTAGGAGCTAAAGTACTCTTTATTCAGTTGAAGCTGTGTCTGAAAATAATTAGCTGTTTCTTCATGAAAAGAGGAGCTTATATTTGGGTAAAGCAAACTCCTAAATTTCCAATTGAAAGTATGTTTTGATGTTGGAAATACATGATTATCTGGTTAATTCATCTAATCATATGGAAATACTAAGAATTGTTTAAGAATCATTTTGAAGCTGTATTAAAAATACTGCTGTGCCATTATAAACCTGAAATGTGGGCATTATCTCAGAAGCTTGTAAATGCTATTTCTTATACCTGTGGAATTTTACTATTCCTTTGAATAGTGTCCTCACAGCTTTGAGGCAGACTGAGAAGTTGGTATCTGATTTAGAAAAAGTATCTTTAATATAATGGAAGACATGAGGATTGTTTTGAGATTAAATAATTTAGAATTTCATTTTGGTTAAATATTCAGAATAATCTGGAAAAATTGGAGAACTAAATATTTGCAGTTCATTGCATATTATATATTCTCCAAATCAAGGAGAGTTTAGTTTGTGAGTTCCCAGTAGCCCTAGTTTTCACACAAGTTTTGAGTGAGCCTCTTTGTTGTTTTTTCCAAGTATTTGGTGTTGAGCTCAAGTTTTTGTGCTGTCTTCTGGAGAATAAGCTAAACATGTGCATTAATCAACACTAACAATAGCCTTGCATTTGAGTCTGCAGTTAAATGAATTTTAATAGAAAGCTTTTAAAACAGCCCTATCATAATTACAATACACTTAAAAATGATGAGCATTTTTAGTTACTGGTGTCTTGTTTTTTGTTTTTTGTTTTTTGGTATCATTAATACACAATTACATGAGGATCATTATGATTACTAGACTCCCCCCATTATCAAGTCCCCACTACATACCCCATTACAGTCACTGTCTATCAGCGTAGTATTGTTTTTTTTTAAGCATTGGAAAAGAAAACCCCCAACCCCCACCCCCCTCAACACACACAACAATTGAAGGATTGATTTTGTATATTAAAGAATTTTCACATAGTAGTTTCTGAAGCTAAGCATACTGAGGTCTGAGCAGCTCTAACACAAAACAGGTAAGTACATGTCCTGGGAAGGTATCTTTTCTGTTAAATCAGTTTACCTAGGTGTTTCTACTAAATGGTAAGTGTCGTGTTGTTTTTGTGAATCATGGATGTTAAAGAACAAGGAGAGAATATCTAGGTGAAGATTTCAGGAAAACTGTCCAAGATTGGTCAAAGATTAGATAGTGTAGTAATCTTGTATCATTTGCTTGAGTATATTACATTGAGAATTTCCAGGATGTTTATATAATTTGTTGGTGTTGAAGAAGGTTGTGGCATTAACAGCCTACGCTGCCCAAACTGCTAGAGCAGAGAGGTACTCACGGAACAAACCCTTTCTCCTACATGCCCTTCTATGTGAAATGCAGAACAATAAGGAAAAACTCAAGCTAGTATCTAAGAAAATACTTGGTGAGTGAATAGACCAGATCAGCTTGCAAATGAGTTCTTCAGCCTGTATTGTTAACTGTTACACTCATAAGTAAGTAGAGCTATAAACATGAGGCAAATTGAGTTTTAGTTACTTAATCCTTTTCATATACAAGTAGCATATGACCACTATATTATTTATTTATTTTTTAGTGAAATCTATTCGAAATATACCTGCCTACCTTGCAGAGACCCTCTACTATGCTATGAAGGCAAGTATATACCTTGAATCTTCCATCCAAATAATTTTTCTCTAGTTATTATCTTTGTTCATGTGTTATTATGTTTTAGATGATAGACTTTGGAATTTTTTTTTCTTCTTAAAACATGTAGTTCAGTTGTACCAAATTGTTTTACTTTACTGATTGAGCAAACTCGGGGGAGTTTGATGCTATACGTATTTTAAAGTAATGTGTCTCTCTCTTTTTCTCTTTTAAAGGGAGCTGGGACAGATGATCATACCCTCATCAGAGTCGTGGTTTCCAGGAGTGAGATTGATCTGTTCAACATTAGGAAGGAGTTCAGGAAGAATTTTGCCACCTCTCTTTATTCTATGATTAAGGTAGTAGAACCTTTTCTTAAATTATGTTGAGAAATCCACAGCAAACCAATAGGTAGCATATAAGACATGGGTGGCAGAATCCAATTCTTGTGTTATCTTTAAAATAATAGTGGTATGATGAGAGCTATGAGTTACAAAGCTTGGCATAATGTTTTTTGAAGTGACAGGTAATAGCTCCCTAGTGAAAGATTGGCCCTTTTTAGGGCTGAGGCTCCTGATGAGCTTAGAAGCATTATTTAGTAGTGGTGACAGGTGACTCAGCAAACCCAGCCCTTTGCCCATGAGGATAATGTGTCTGTTTTTTTCCCTCTTTTATCAGTTCCAGCTGTTAGTGCTTCCTTTCCTTTCTTTATTGTTTGTTAGTGGTATTGGTTCACAGGTCAGGAAAGAACCAACCAAGTCCTACCAGGAATACATAAAGAGTTTAGGGCTTATTATGGTTTCTGTCTATTTAAAGTCAAGAGAGATTGTGGGCCTGTAATAAAATTTGATAAGGTTTTTTGATGGGATTTCTTGCTCCCTTTCTCACTTTCTCTCTTTCCTCTTTCATTTCTCTCTCCCTCTCTTCCTTCCTTAACTCTCATTGCTTCTTCTTCCCCCCCTAACCCCTGCCCTTTCTTAAGGGGAATGTGGGCCAGGTGCAAAGCAGGATTTTAGTTGAGCAAGTTTTTAACTTGTGTGTGTGTGGTGTGTCTGGACTGAAGAGCCCTAGAGGATTCTTTCCATGCTCTCACAGCCTGAAACATCAGTGTGTCATATACATCTGTGTATGAGACAAGCAGAGGCAATGCATATCCTGCCCTTCTGTCTTTGAGGCAAAGCTGTAACATCCAAGCAGTCCCAGCATTGCCCCCCTTAGCCAGACATACACAGAATGTGACAGAAACTGAGAGTTTGTTAGAAGGTTTGGTCTGAGTATCATAAAAGCTTCCCTGTTCTCTGTATGACCAGAGGGAATAATGTACTTTATTGTCTTAAATGGAACTGCCTTTAAGGGGTAAAATTAGAAAGTTAAACATATTTTACATGGGTAGGAAACTCCCTGTATAACATTTCTGTCGTGAAAGTCACAGATTACCCACTTGGGAGAAGTCATATGAATAAAACTTGTTGCCAGATACTTCTTAGTTTTTTAAATGTTCTGTGGTTTCCGTGAGTCATGGAGGTTAACAGAGCACACTGGTTTCAGGGTGACACGTCTGGGGACTATAAGAAAGCTCTCCTGCTGCTCTGCGGAGGAGAAGACGACTGACGTGCCGCGTGGAGAGAGGCCTGCGCAGTGCCTGCCAGCCCCCCACAGCACCTTCCGTATGCCCGTGCTTGTCCTGCTGCCTCATTCATACTAGCATGCTAATGACCAAAATGTACATGTTATAGAGGAAAACTGTGGTGCTGCTTCCTGATCCTCAATTTAAGTTCTCTCTTTGTTGTGTAGTTCTCAAGTGTAGTTACGTTGCCGAGTCTAAAGTCTGTGTCATTTATATTTTAAGAGGTCAGACTGCTTTTACCTTCTTAAAAAACTTCATTTACATTAAATTGATAACCATATAACCTTAATTAGAACCTTAGCCTTGAAATTATAAACTCTTGGAGTTTTATTAACCAAGTTTGCTACTATTTTAAACCTGAAAAATTATGGTGGCTGCTCAAAAGATAATGAGAAATAAACATTTACTTTCCCTTGAGTTATGTGTTGGTGTGTGTTTAGAAAATTTTTCTATTTAATAGTGACATCTTTTTTAAGTTAGAGCTAGTCAATTGACAGTGGTGTTAGTTGACAAGTGAATTTCTAGTTGGCTTTTTGGGTGGTTAACTAAATGCAACACTACAAACAATTTCCTCTAGTTCGTAATGATGGAGAGGTTTAAAGGAGTCTCATTTATTTGTAGCATGTTTATTTGGGCATCAGTTAAGGTGATACTTTTGATGGTAGTTGCTTAGTAGGAAAGCTAATTTTAAAACTTAACCTAAAAATATAGAGTGCTATGTTTCTCTTTCCTATTTTTAATTTGTTTTTCCTATTTTCATTTGCTACCTTCTCTTTTCTCATATTTGCTTTTCAGTTTTCTGCTTTCAAACCATCTTGAATTGGTATCAATTTTCTTTATGCACCTGTACCCTTATATATGAATTTTTTTAAAGCAGGTAATTGCTCTTAGTAAGATATTTTTATAGAAAGACCCCTCTTTATGAAAACTTAAATAGTGAGATTGTTCTTTTCACAGCCTTGGCTGCTCATCAGAATAACCACGGGAGCCTTAAAAGTTACGGGTGTATACGTAAGACATCGTTGTTGTTTTTTAAAGCTCCCTAGGTGATCTGAATGCAGAGCCAAGTTGGGAATTGCTTATGCTTCCCCTCCCACGACTCATTTTACTGAGATACAACTGACATAGAGCAGTGGGTAAGTTCAAGGTATACAGCATAATGAATTGACTTACATATATTGCACATAGGTTACCACAGTAAATTTGGTTAACATTCATTATCTCATACAGCTATAGAACAAAGAAGAAAAAACGTCACTTTTTTCCCCTTGCGATGAGAACTGTAGAATTTACTTTCTTAGCAACAGCAGTGTTAACTGTAATTGTGTAAATACATCCCAAGTATTTTATCTTATGCCTGGAAGTTTAGACCTTTTGATCACCTTTATTTACTCCCCCATTCCTCACCCCATGCTGCTGGTAACCACACATTGATCTCTTTTTCTATAAATTTGTTTTTGTTGTTTGCGTAGCTTTTTTGTTGTTGTATATGCATAGCTGTGTATCAGGCGCATTCATGGGGGGAGGTGAGTTCGAGATCCCCCTGCATTGCCATCTTGAACTGGATTTTTGGTTTTTCTTCTTTTTCTAATGATAAGGTGAATTACATCAACTGATTTTCCAATGTTGAACAGTCTTACATTCCCAGGAAAAATATCAGTTTGTCATGATGTATTTCATTTTTACATATTGCTATGTTTGTCATGGTAATGACATACTTTTGAGGATTTTTTTCTGTGTTCATGAGGGATTACTGACCTGTAGTTTTATTTTCATGAGATATTTTTATCTGTCTTTGGTACCAGAATAATGCTGGCTTCATAACATGGGTTGGGAAGTATTTCTATTCTGTGTTATGTAAGAGTTTGTGTGGAATTGACATGAAAAATTTCCTTAAATGTTTGGTAGATTTGCCAATCAGGTCAGCTGGGTCAAGTCTTTTCTCGAAGGAACTACAAATATAAATATACATACATAAAAATAAATAATATAAACTTAGTGGCTTAAAAATAATACAAATAATTACCTTACAATTCAAGAGGTCAGAAGTCCAAAATCAGTCTCAGTGAGCGAAAGTAAAGATTCTGGTAGTGTTCCCTTCTGGAGGCTCTAGGGGAGAATCCATTTCTTGTCTACTTCAGCTTCTAGGATACCCGCATTCCTTAGCCTATGGACGCTATCCCCATCTTCTTCTATGCCAACAATCAGTTCACTCCAGTTTCTGCTGTCTTCACATCTCTCTCTTTTCCCTTTTAAAGACCCTGACTGATTACATTGGGCCCACGTGGATAATCCAGGATCATCTCCCCTTCTCAAGGTCATACCTGCAAATTCCCTTTTGCAGTATGAGATCGCATGTTCACACATTCCGAGGATTAAGACATGGACATCTTTTTTGGGGTGTGGGGGGACTTGTGGGCATTTTACTGCCTACCACAGATGGTTTCAAAAAATGATTTTGTAATATACATAGCATTTTCTCTTAGGGTAGGTAGGAATTATGCTCTGCATCCTAGATAAAAGCAGAACTTCCAAATAATATACACTTAGTTGATTAATGGGAAAAAACATTTCATTACTTGAATTTTTCCTTGCATCTAATTTTAATGATCAAAACACCTCTGGTGACAGGTTTTTCCTTCGCGCACGTGTGTGTCTTGCATGCACGGGAGTTCTGACCGATTTGTGGCAGTCTGTCTTGTGCCCAGTGGGTGGTGCTGTTGGCATAGACTTCCATCCCATTCAAATTGTACTTCTATTTATGCTGCACTTTTTAATTTTTCAGCATCTGGGTATTCTTATACAGTCTTCCTCACCCTAACGCTCAGGTGAAAAGTGAATCTAAATTTTAATCCTTTACTTGGTTACTCATCTGTCACCTGGTGACACTTAGAATCATCTTGTTATCCCAGATTTTAGGACATTGTTTTGTTTTTGAAAGCACTGGTCTGTCCTTTTCCCCCATGAGATTTTGCAGCCCATTTAATACCCACCTGCTGTCCCCCCAGCCTTGCAGTGGAGCACAGAGCACACCTCCTTTGGATATTTTTATGGATGTACATTTCCCTATCTATGATCCCTGATAGCAATTAGATATACAGCCACAGGTGCACATAAGGAAAAAAAACCCCTTCTGCAGAATGAATCTGGCTTTTGGGTCTTGATATTTGAAATGAAAGAATGTTTTAAATTTCTAAATTCACTTTTTTTTTACCATTACTTTCTCACAAATGTCTAAAACTATACTCATATCTCCCATAGACAAGTTTACCTTCCCCAATTCCCTGTTTTTAGAAGTGGCTCTAAAAATCCTATTAATTCATTCTGAAAACTTTGGTAATATTTTTATATCTTCGTTTTTTTGTCCTTCATGTTAATTGACAAATCCAGACGATTCTTTCATTATAATAGTCTATCACATCTGCCTTCTTTCTCTTTCTGTTGCTACCCTATTTCTGGAACCAGTTGCCTTATTTGAACTACTTATAAATGACTCCTTTTTAATAAAGCATTTCTTTATTTTTGCCAAAGCAATAAATACACCAGTTAAAAAGTCAAAATAGCATGAAAGTGCAAGAAAAAGAATCCTCTCAGTTCCGCATTTGGGGCCGGGGGTGGGGCATGTCAAAAACTTTTAACATTGTTACTAGTTTTTTCCTGCTAGTTTCATCCATATTTCTGTGTTTCCTCCTTCATGTCAGATTTTTCTGTTGGCTTCCTATTATAAGAGGTTGATTCAGTTCATTCACTCTATTCACCTTTTCTCTTGTTTCCTCTCTGCATACTTCCTTTACTGTTTTTAGTTCCCCTCATGATAACCTATGTGACTTTAAGCAATGTATTTTTATTGTTCCAACAACTATAGAAAGAATCTGTATATCTCTCGCTTTGAAAGGGTAGGTCTTTCAAGCTAGATACACTCTCCTCTCTCATGTCCAGTGTCCAGCTCCCTTGCACTGTAATTTTGCTTTTTAATCGTCAGAGTTGATCTTGTTTACATCCTTTTTTATGACTCCAATAAAGTCTTTTGTCAGTATATTGATTCTACAATTTGGAAATAGGAAAGTTTAGATTTCAACTAATAGCTAACCTGTGTTCTGATTCATTTCCCTTCTTGTGTACGTGTATTTCCCATCCTCATGATACCTGCCTTGATTGTTTCTTGAGTGTGTGTAATAAATCCAAGCATTGTGTGAAGTATTCGGCCTGCCTTTCTCACATTTTTCTTCCTGAGATATCTTTCCTGGAGACTCCATCCTTTGATTAGACTGATTTCTTTCTAGGCTTGCTTAACTCAAGGGTGGCCATGCTCAGACTGAGATAGGTTGTTCAGTCTTTCTGAAAAAGGACTCTTCCTTTTATTCCTCCCTCCCTTCCTTTCTTTCTTTCTTGGGGCAGGCAGAAGGAATTGGTGAGAGAGGTTCTTAATTCAGAATACCGTGTGTACATGTGCCTAGTTCACAACAGATTTTTACCTGATTCTTCTGTTTTAGGTTCTGTGTGTCATTCTTTTCATGCTACTTGATATCTGTGAATCACAAGCTTTTAGGGGGTGCCACATGGCAGACTTTCTCTTCATCTACAGCCTCTTATTTGTGTATTTTTGGTTAGGACTTTATTAGGTACCATTTCTCTTGTTCTAATGGCTTCCCTCCCATTCTCTCTATTGTGAGATTTTTAGTGCCTTGATTCTCATTTTCATAGAGTCCAGAGTTCTTAACTGCTCAGACTGCCATCTTGAACTGGATTTCCTGAAATGACTTCTAAAGTGCCCATGTTGTTCATAGCCTCTTCTGCCAGTCCTGCCTGATTTCCTGTGCCCTTGACATCCTTATTTCCCTTTGTGTGACTAGTGCATCTCCTTTCCAGAAGTCTCAGCCCTATTCCTATTACCAGGCCAATTAGGTTAATATAAGAAAGGTAGTACTTACACCACCTCCATACATTCCTCACTGAGGATGGTGGTTGCCCTGCTGAGTGAGCTCTGGGTGCCAGGTTTGTCCTGAAGACATGATTTCTCCTGTCCCTTAAGTCCAGATTCCCAGGACTTCACTTGTGCTTCCTTCCTGTTTCTAGCAACTTTGTCTTGTGTCAGGCTCTTCTCTTGCCTGTTGGCAGTCTTGTGGGTCAGCCAGTGTCATTGCACATCCCCAGGGTGATCATGGATAGTGTGCCCCAATCACCATCTCCCGATTCCCCATTGCCGTATGCCATCTGCATCGCTGGGTCCTCACCACCTTCTGGAAGGCCAGCAGTAATCTTTGCCACTTCACTCTCAAGATACCATTTTCATTGTACCTACACTTGCCCACATATCCTTAGTAGCTCCCCATAGTCAACTCTACTTTGAATTCCTTGTTTTGTAGTTAAAGCTCCTGCTCTTTTGCTCCCAACCACCTTTTCAGTCTTAGCTCCCA